TTTTACAGAGAAGAAGAGAGTTAGAAACATTGATGAGAGAGAATCATCGATCAGCTGCCTCTTGCACCCTCCCTCCCCCGACTGGGGATGTGCCGCAACTAAGGTACATGCCCTTGACCGGAATCGAACCTGGGACCTTTCAGTCCTCAGGCCAATGCTCTATCCACTGAGCCAAACTGGTTTCGGCGAAGTGAATATCATATTGAAGAGTGTTCTAGACAGTAGCTCTTTATGCTGTGTTGGGAAAAGACTATAGAGCTGTACGGAAAGAAGCAGAGATCTGTTAGGAAAAAGTGTAGGAATGCAGTCATCTATGCCTATCTATGGGCAGAAAAGCTGTACTGACTCCAAGCATTGTGAGCCAGCCACGTATCTAAGCTCAGTACTGAGTCCTCAGTAAATTCTGGTGATGTGACTAATTTTTTTTTATTAAATCCTGACCTGAGGATATTCCTCCCCTCTCCCCCCCCCCCCGTTACTTTTTAGAGAGAGTGGAAGGGAGGGAGAAAGGGAAAAAAGGGAGACAGAGAAAGAGAAACATCGATTGGTTTCTCTCCAATTGATGTGGGAGAGACACATCTTTTGGTTGCGTCCTGCCCAAACCCTGACCAGGGCCGGGGGCGGAACCTGCAACCCAAGTATGGGTCCTCGACTGAGAATCGAACCCGAGACCCTTCAGTGCGCCAGCCAATGCTTTAACCACGGAGAACCACTGGTCAGGGGGCGATGTGACTGTTTCAGCATAGGTATGCCTCCTATAACTTACTTCAGAAATTACCAGTAAGTAGCTCTTACCCTTGTAAAAGCAAAAGTCTACAGACTCACAGACTTCAGAAGCTGGTGCTCCTACAGGAACTGAGGGGCTTGTATTTTGGAATTAGTCTGTGGCCCGTCAAGACCTTGAGAACCCAACGAGGATGGCCAGTGACTTACAAAGTTAAACAAGAACAATGCAGTTTTAAGTTCAAATGTATTCATATATTTGAGGGAAATGCCCCAGTAAAACCATAATGCCATACAGGACTCAGAGAGATGCGATGAACATTTTAGGTAAAATAGCAAATCAGTGCACACAATACATCTCTAAAGTCCATATTGTACTAAGATCTAAAGATAGATATTTTGGCCCAGCCCGTGTGGCTTTGTGGTTGAACACCCACCTAGGAACCAAAAGATCTCGGTTTGATTCCTGGTCAGGGAGGATATGTTTATTGATTTGGGAGAGAGGGAGATTGGTTGTCTCTGGGATGCACCCCAATCAGGGACTGAACTGGCAACTGAAGCATGTATCCTGATAGGGAATCGAACCCAAGACCTTTCAGTATATAGGGACAGCACTCCAAATGAGCCACACAGGCCCGCACTCTGTGTGACAGTCTATCTATGTGACATGTAAGCTTTTATTTGAGAAGGTGTATGACGATTTTAAGATATATTTACTCCTAAGGATTCCCTTTAAGAGGAAAGACACAAACAGTTGTAGTAAAGAAATGTAAAAAGGAGACGCAGTAATAGTAATAAGCTTACGCATTTCTGCTTGAGTCCTAGAAAAAGTCAGATGTCCCAGTAATACCTGCTCATGCACATGGCATTTCAGATGCTGGCACTTTCGCCGGACAAGCGAGAGCCAGGAGGGATGCAAACAGACAGCTGCAGGCACGCCAGGCTATGCGACAGATGGAAAACAGGGCGAGGCCTAGGATATGACTTGCTACTGTAAAGGAAGCCAAAACGGTCCAATTGGCACAACCACTTTTAAGTTCACATTTTTATGTACTCAGAATAACCATGCTATTTTAGCCTCGGAGGTGCAGCCTCACGCGTAGGATGTGGATTCTGACTTGCTTGGGTTGACAGCTGGCTGGGGAATGGAGGTGGTGTCACTTTAAGTCTGGCTCAGAAATAGTTGAATAAGGTAGACTAGTCCATCTATCCGTTTGATTATTTTTAGTTCTGCTCTCCTCCCTTTTAAAGGGGCTCTCAGATATTTTAGTGGCACAAAGGGTTTCCCAGGCCAAAGTCATAGGTGTGTGTACTTACTGGTGCTTGTTATTGAAGATCAGTGAGAAGGAAAGTGACTACTAGAAAACTCAACTTTCAATTTTAGGTTAAAAAAAAAAAAAAAAAGCTCAGCCTCCCTAAAAGTGTTCTTTGTGCTTCTTTTCCACTTCCCAGTTTCTCCTCTGTGATCTATTCTGCAATGCACATGGTGTTCTCAGCCTTCACTATACTTTAGCCACTTGGAAATTTTAAGGATCTATATCCATGACAAGGGTCCTAACCCGAGGTTTGATCTACAATTGGATCCAGGTGGTATATTAAAAAAGTGACCCAGATAATTTTTTTTAATACTCAAGTAATTTTATTGTGCAGCGAGGGTTGAAAACCCCTATGGTTTCAAGCTGGAGTAAAAAAAATCTAGGTTCTACCCGTCTGGTGTGACTCTGTGGTTGAGTGTCAAGCCTATGCACCAGGAGGTCATGATTCAGTTCTACATCCAGGCACATGCCTGGGTTGTGGGCTCAGTACCCAGTGTGGGGCGTACAGGGGGCAGCCCATCGATGATTCACTCTCATTATTGTTTCTCTCTCTCCCTCTTCTTTCCTCTCTGAAATCAACACAAATATATATTTTAAAAAAATCTAGATTCTAGCTGTAGGGCTGCCATTTACTAGTTGACTGACTTTAGTACCCAATTTCCAATAGGACGATGAGGTTGGATTAGAGATTTATAAAAATTTTCTAACTCTACCCTGGTGGATGTGGCTCAGTTGGTTGAGTATCATCCCATGAATTAAAAGGTTGCCAGTTCGATTTCTGGTCAGAACAGCTGAGTGATATTTCTCCCTCTATCTCTCTCCCTTTCTCTCTAAAATGAAACAAAATATATATTTTTAAAATTTCTATCTCTAAAACAAAATTAAATAAATTGAGATTCATATGGTATCTAATATGCTCAGCTCCAAAGAGATAAAAATGGAATTATGTGGCATAGGAGTTTGATTTGAATCCAGTGAGTGATAATAAAATAACATAAGCATTTAAACTTTCCCCTCTTCCCAGTGATAAGGCATGGGAGAAAAGAAACATAGAAATTTAAGCTTAGAAATCACACCAGACTCTAGGGCTGCTTTGTCTGTTGCCAGCTCTCTTAAATTAGGAGCTAGTCAGATGGTACCTGGGGAACAGAGGGAGGAGGGACAGAACTGACTGCACACCAAGAAGGTAAATATAAACCCCAAAGGCCTTACATTACTCATCAGACCATAATGTGGCCTGGCCCTGTGTGGAAGGCGGGGCAGGGGTGTGTACCTATACTGACCTCCACTCCTCACCCCCACCTCTGTCCTCCTGAGAGCACCCAGGAGAGGAGGTGATCCCGGTGGATGACCCATCCCCAGCCAGGCCCACCCCAGCCTCACCTCCACCTTCTCAGCCTGGCCCCTGCCCTGCCCCATCCAGAGGGACCCACTACCTTCTCCAGGAGCTGCCTTTCCAGATGCCCTGGACCTCTCTTTAGGACCCAGGCCTCCGTGTGCTTTGAGAACCAGCCTCGAACCCCGTCCCCTCGCTTCTGTGTCCTCTCTAGACTGGGCTCGCCCGAAGAGGCTGAGCACACGGAGGCCCTTGGCCCAAGCGCAGCTCACGCTCCGCCCCCGGTGATCCTCAGACCTTATACGCTCCGGGGCAAATCCTAAATCTCCAATCTCATCTCCCCACTAACCCACGCTCTCTAAGTCTCCCCCTCAGCACCTCTCCGGGCACCCCCCTCCCCCCTCCCACTCCCCAGTAGGGCACCAGGTCTCTGACATCCCCGGAGCTTCCTGCAGGCTCACGCCTCAGCCTTGCTCCCCATGCAACTTCCAACCCAGACACCCAGGACCTCTCCGAACTGTGCTCCCTCCCTCCAGCCTCCCCCCCAACCTCCCACCCCAGGAGCCCCTCCACGCGCTCAGCTCACACTCTAACCTCCAGCCCCACACTCATTGTCCCATCTTTTCCAAAACTGTGGGCGCCCTGACTTCCCCGTTACACCCCATCTCCGGATCTGCTATGGCCCCCAGCCCCTCGTCCCCACTCCTTTACCTCCCGACTTGACCCATGGGCGCCCCCATCCAGCTCAGCCCCCCCCCACCCCCCCCCACACACACACCCCGGCCCTCAGCCCTCCCTCTCCCCTCCCAGCCTGGGCCCGCCAGGCCCGGCCTCAGATCGCCCTCGGGAGGGGCGGCCGCCTCCCGCGGGGCCGGCGGGGCCTGGGCCCGGCTGCCGGGAGGTGACGCGGCCCCGCGGGAGGAGCCAGGAGGCGGAGGGCGGAGGCGGAGGCGGAGGCGGCGCGGACGGCGGCGGCGCGGGCAGCGAGCGAGCGGCCCCAGCGCCGACTCCACGGGCTCAGGGGGCGGCGGGGCCTCGGGCCGCGCGTGATGTGGGCGGAGAGGCGCCCGGCTCGGCGGAGCGTCCGAGTTCGCCGAAGCCCGGGCGTGGGCGGCCCCGGGGCCCCGGATCCCGCCCCGTGCGGTCCCTCCTCTGCGCTCGCTGCTCCGCTTTGGCCTCGAGGGTCCCCGGCCGCGCGGTCGCCCTGAGACAGCAGCCCCCGCGCCCCCTCCGCCCTCCACCTTCCGCCCTCGGATCCCGCCTCCCGGCCATCGGGGCGAGCCGCGGGGCCCCCCCCCGCCCCCCCGCCCCGGTGCCACTGGCTCGCGGCGGCCTCGTCTGTCCCCTCCCAGGGGCGCGCCCCCCGCCCCCGCCGCGGCCGGACACACTCGCGCGCCGCCCTCCCGCCCGCCCGCTCCCCCCAGCCACCCCCCCTCGGCCCCGCCGCCTTACTCCGCGCCGCCCCGCCGCCTTACTCCGCGCCCGACGGCCCGCCGCCGCCGCCCGCCCCGGAGCCGCTCCCTCACAGCCCGGCGCCCCGGAGGCCGGAGAGACGCTCCCCGGAGCGCGCGCCCAGCCTCCCTCCTGCCCTCCCTCCCTCCCTCCTCCCCCCGCGCCCGCCCTCCGCTCCCCGCCCCCCGCTCCTCTCTCTCCCGGGGGCGGGGGGCTGTCGCCTCGGATGGAAGGCCATTGATTTGTATGTATTTGTCCCGGCGGCGCCGGAGGAGGCCGCCCCAGCCGCCGCCGCCCGCGGAGCGGCCTCCCCGCCGCGTCCCCAGGGCGGCCGGGCTCCGCCAAACATGTCGGCTCCGGTCGGGCCGCGGGGCCGCCCGGCTCCCACCCCGGCGGCCTCCCAGCCGCCGCCGCCACCGCCTCTGCAGCCCGAGATGCCCGACCTCAGCCACCTCACGGAGGAGGAGCGGAAGATCATCCTGGCCGTCATGGACCGGCAGAAGAAGGAGGAGGAGAAGGAGCAGTCGGTGCTCAAGTAAGAAAGAACCCAGCTGCTCCATCTTCCCGCCTCCCTCCCTCCCTCCCTCCCCCCTCCCTGCTGCCTGCCCTCCGCCCCCCAGGCGGCTGCCCCGCGGCCGCCGCGCGTCCGATCGCCTTCCCGCCGGCGGCAGCCTCGTGGTCCGGCTGCTTTCGGGGTGTCGTGTCGGGAAAGGGGGGGCGGCGAGCCTTTGGACGCGGTCATTGTCCCCGAGCGTCCTGTCCGGAGCTCCCCGGGGCCGGCAGGCTGGGCTCCGGGGCCGCGGGGAGCTCCGCACAGGGCGCCCGGGTAGGGGCTGCCCCCGGCTCCGCGCGCGCCTGCCCGGCCGCCGCCCCCGCGCCGAGCCGGGACCCGGGCGCCGGATCCAATATGGCCGTGCACAGGTGCCCGGCCGGGGCGCCGAGGCGGGCGGGGACGCGGGGCGCCCCGGGCCTCCCAGGCCCGCGCTGCCGCAGGGCGGCTCTGCTCCCCCTCTGCTCCCCCCCCAGCGCTGGGGGAAGCGGCGTTGCCCACGATCGCCGAGGGCAGGAGGGCGGCGGGGCGCGGCCCGGGGCCTGCTGCGCTCCGGGCGCTCCGGTGGGTGTGCGGCCGTCGCCATCTTCCGCCCACCCCTCCCCCGCCGCGGGCTCCGGCGCCCCGCGCTCGCTCGGCGGCTCTTCCTGTTTGCGCCTCGTCTGTCTGTGTGATCCCTAAGGGGCTCCGAAGGGGCTACGGGTCCTGCCGGGACTGCGGTTTTGGGGTGTCTCCTCCGACCGTGCGAAGTTGTGTGCACACGCCCAGCCCGGGGGGCGGGGGGAGCGGGGCGGCCCGGCGGCGGGAACTTCAGCACCGGGAGCTGTCCAGCCCGGCCCCGGCTGCGGGGTCCGGCCGCGGGGAGGGGGCAGCGGGGCGGCGGCGGGAACTTCAGCACCGGGAGCTGTCCAGCCCCGGCCGCGGGGAGGGGGAGCGGCGCGGCGGGAATTTCAGCACCGGGAGCTGTCCAGCCGGGGCCGGGCGCTGAGTGCTGGTCTCGCTAGAATAGATGATCTGTTTCTACAGGTTTGCTTTGCTTCTAAATGCTTTGCGGTGATTTGATTTTCCCAGTGAACTCTGAGAAAGAGATTGTGCAGAAGATGTGTAACCTTTGTATGTTTTTTTTTTTCTTTCCAAACTCAACTTTTTTTTCTTCTTCTTTCTTTTCACTTGGATTTCCACTAAAAGATGAACTTCGTATACAGTTTCTATGCCCAAGTAGGGCCATTCTTTTGTGTGTGTCATCCAATTTACTCTCCCATAGTCTCCACAGAAACACACCACGGAAAGGGTAGAATTCCTCCAGGAAGGAAAACTAGCACACTAACTTCTAATTATGTAAATTAAAAAAAAAACACAGGTTGTTGAATTCAATAGTCTTTCAGAAAATGTATTTTTCTTTCCCCTATAATTTTATTAAAAAGAAAAAAAACACACACATTTCTTATTGATTTCAGAAAGGAATGGAGAGGGAGAGATAGGAACATAAAGGATGAGAGAGAATCATGGACCGGCTGCCTCCTGCACCCCCCACCCTGGGGATGGAACCCGCAGCCCAGCCATGTGCTCTGACCGGAATCCGACCGGGACTGCCTGGTTCATAGGTCGTCGCTCAACCACGGAGCCACACCGCCAGGCCTTCGGTAGTCCTTAATACACTTATAAAGAAATAATTTTGTGCTGTTATAGTTACATTATTAATGAAAAATATTACTTTAAATAATTTATGATAAATGCATCAGATATTTGTACATGCTTGAGAGAAATCCTATTTATCAAATGATACTTAAGGACCAAGAACAAATGTATTTCTCACATATTAACTGAAAGAAAGAAGAACTGCTTCTTCAAAGATCATTTCTGGTTCAGCTACTTTTTGGGACTGTGATTTATTAGTAGCCTTGGAAATGAAAAAGATTAGGAGATTTAAGTAGCTTATTTCAACTAATAGGAGAATAAAGCATTATCTATAAAAGCTTTTTGAGCATGTTCCTAACTTCACTCTACTATATATACTGACAATACCAAGCTTTGGATGACTTAGAGCTGGACATTCAGGTATATTACTATATATTTTTACTATGTTGCTATAAAATCAGTGTTTCCAAATGATGCTCAAATAAAATAGTTTTATTTATTTGACCCACATATTTAGATGTAGAATGTATTTTTTATTTCATTATAATATGCTAAATAATAGCACTTATTGGGAAATTCACTCTAATTTCAGATTAATTTATTGTTCTAATATATATAATTTTAAATGAACTTTTGAATATTAAATTAAGAATTATTTAAAAAATATACTAAAAAAAGTTGTGAAAGCGTTGGCTATTCAGGTAGGTACACATAAACTTACATGTAATACAATTGTGCATTCATATCTTTACAATTTAGAGAGAAACAAATATCTAAATGTATTCATTCTATGAATTTACATTGATAAAAGTACATTCATATTTATTTTAAATATATATTTGCATTTCTATCTAACTTAATCTTGGGAGAGGTCATAGCTCAAAATGACCTACATGGCTTCAGAATTATTTTTGTTTTCACTTTAACAATAACTTATTTGGAGGTTAAAACCTAATATATTTCAGAATTTAATTAAAAGTTCTTTAAAAGTGCTTTTGTCTTTTGTAACAAAATAACAGTAGGCCAGGAAAATGAGAAAAAGTGTAGATTTTATATATAATAATAAGAGACAAAGCATTTTCAAGAATTTGACAATTTATTAAGTAATATATTATCAATATTGGATATTAAATTTCACATGCTGTATATAAGAAAAAGTGCTAGTATTCTTCAATGACTACTATTTCCATTAACTTTTAAGGGACACATCTGGTTGTGACTATACTATATCCTTTGTTTCTCTTCGGTATATCCATTTAATTTCATGTTAAAATCTATTCTGAAAGAAGGTCATGGACAGAGAGAAGTAAACTGAAATTTAAATTCATATCTGCTATCTTTTAACAACTATGTAAGAAAAAGACTTTGATGTGTAAAAAAATGGAACTACTTGAAAATATTTTTGCGTGATCTGTGAGATTCTATGCTATGCTAAGTATTCATACAAAGTGGGGTGTGCATTACAAGATGACCTATGGGAGTACAGGAAAAAATATTTAAACTTACATTTACATTTCTATTTATATTTAAAAGAAAAATTAAGCTTTATTAATAGTTAACATATACAGTGACAATATTAAAATACATATAATTTACATATAAATATTTGTAGATGGAGAGGTTCAGGCCTGAGATATTTTTAGTGGGAGAGGTGAGACCACTATAGTAATCTCTTGCCTTGGGAGCTGGAAGAATGAAAACTATTTATTTTTAATTGTTAGCAATGTCTTCCAAGCCTAGCTGAACATCCACATACTTAGGAAGTTCTTCTATCATCATCAAACAATATCATTTTACATGTGAGTGAGATACTAGAATTTTGGAAGCATTTTTATATATCTGTAGATTCCTAAATAGATCAATACTTCCTTTTTTTTTTTTTTAACCCTATGAGTTCCATTAATATTTTTAGTTTGGATAACTCAGTCTATCAAGTTCTGCAATGCCCTTTTCCTGATTAATGTTTTTAAGGCTTTCAAGTTGTTTTTCATGACTGTAAACTTCTTGAGGGCAAGAATAAACTTACTGGAGTTTGTGTTTTGCAGCATCCTTAAATACCTGTGCATAGGAGGTCCCTACTAAGTAATGTTGATTTGACTTGTGGTAATGTTAATGAGGTAGTTTACCAATTTTGTTGGGAAAATGGAGAATGATTATTTTTAAAAGAAAAACATAACCTAAAAGTTTCTATTTTCAAGTGAGGCTTTTTTTTTTTTCCTTTTTCTTTTTGGTGTGGTACTAAGAAAAAAAATAGAGGAACTCAAATCTACTGAAATCAATAGAAAGGCATTCATTCAGTAAATATTCATTGAATTTCTACTATGTGCATACCACAGTCTTTCAGAGGTATTTTTGTAACAAATTAGAAATTATGTTTCTTGTTGTGTAAATCATCTTTTTTTTTCATATCAGTTTAAGTTTTCTGTTAATGTCAAAGGGATAATTTTCTCCGAAATAAAGGAAGATAATAAGTAAAAATTTTCCTGATAGAACAAGGTAACAATTTAGCTTATATTAAAAACAGATGAACAGTTCTACATTTTTTTTTAATAATTCAATTTTAAAAGTGCTTTCCAAAGTCAGTTTGTAAACTTCTTTATTTATTAGGTAATATATATAAACTATTGATAGTAGCCTGGTGCACGGAATTCGTGCAAATTAAAAGGGAATTAATTAGAGGAGGAAATATTGTAATATTGCTATTGATGTCCCCTGGCCGAGCACCATGCTGGGAGGCAAACTCACTGTTCTAGGCCAGCAATGCTGCAAGTCCCCGCCCACCTGCATCTGCCTTGCATGAAGCCTCCCGCTATTCGGTTGTTACGGTGTTATGGCGTGATGACCATTTGCATATTAGCCTTTTATTATTATGGTAGTATAAAATTTCTTATGAAATTTTTAACTATTTTCCCTACTCATAGACAACTGCTGTTGCCAAGTATACTGTATAGTCTGCCAGAAAATTCTGTGTAGAAGAGTAGATATGTGTATATATCAAATATTTTGTGTTTGTGTGTGTGCACAAGCATGTATGGATATATGTGTGTAAACATGAACAACACAAGCGTGTCCTGAAAGTTTACTTTTAGAAGATAATACCCACACCCATTAATATATAGTTGCCTCATTCATTTTAATGGCTGCATAATATCCCATTTTATAAATGTTCTCTAATTTCTTTAACTAGTACATATTTTTTGGTAAGTTGATTCTAATTATTTTGCCATTAGGAAAAACACTATGTTAAATACCTTTGTATATATATCATTTTCCAATATGTCTGAATATATCACTGAGATACATTTTTAGAAATGGAATTATTTGATCAAAAGGTCAGCATATTTTAA